GGAACGTTGTATTTATTATCTCTTGGATAAAACGTGGCATCTCCCGGCAGCGCAATAACACCCATTTCATGTAGTATTCGCCTCACCGTAAAGTGAAAATGAAACATAAATATTGAATTCTTCATCAATTTCGCACTCACACCGCAGCCGCTAGTGGCACACCAAACCGCAAAGTTCAGTTGCTGCGGCCAATAACGCATGTTAGGACCACTTAACCATTCATGAGATTCCTTGGCGGTGGTATGAATAATGGGCACGTTTTTGAAGATATCTCGCACCTTTAACGGAAAGGAATGCTTGTTAGAGATCCGCATGTTCAGCGTTAGGTCCAAGCTTGGATGTTCATTAAACGTAACTGCGGGTATCGGATAAGTACTGGTACCAAGCAATAATTCCTTTGACCAACCTTGCACGGGTTTAGGCTTAGGATGCTTCAGCTGAGAGTCTATCTGATCGACCAGCGTAGGTTTCAAATCCTCATTGCTGTACATTCTGGAGCCGTTAAAGTAAATCCCATCGGGTCTACGCTCAAACTTACTGGGGTCTGCATGCGRAAACATCTTCCTAAAGGCCCTCCAGTTCCAGTAGTCCCTGTTGTCGTGATGTGGCTGCTCCTCRATATCATTCCCAAAAGCGTCGTACATTAGTATATATAATGGATGTTATACCTTCAGCACCTAAGTTGTACCCAGATGTTCCCAATTATCACACTACGGCACCCATCGAGAACGCCGAAAACTTTCGTTTAAACAAGGCAAACTTAATCCTGGCTTACTTGGAAGGGCAAACAAAACACTATGAGGAGGTTAGGAAAAAGTATGCTAGAGCCCGAAGCATGCTACATAAAATAGCGATAACTTCAGGCTCCATGTCCGTGGCGTTAACAGGCACCGGCGTTGCTACTTCACTTACCGGACCTGGAATAGTCGTCGGTGTTCCTTTGGCTAGCGTTGGGGCAGCCTGTGGCATTGTTTCCGCTGTTACGACAGGTATTGTGAAGCAACTGTCTGGTAAGATATCCAAGCACGATACACATGTGGCCCTAGCAAGAGCAAAGGCCAACACCATCGCCGACTTGGTGTCTCAGGCTCTGCGGGACCGTAAAATTGACGACGTGGAGTTTTCTTYGATCCTCGCGGAGGAAAAGAAATACGGAGAGTTAAAGTCGGGTAATAAAAAAACCATCGTAAAAGATCTTTCCGAGGAATCTCGCAAAAAAATCTACCAGGAGGCAAAAGAGGAGCTACAAAGAAAACTCGCTCAGTAGACATCTGCTTTGAAAAGA